AGCAGATACCGAGTGGAAAAAAGCCAAGGGTGGTTAAGCTAAGACCTGGCGCAAGGGTATGAAAACCCCAACCAGAAGACTGGGTTACATAGGTCCTGTTAGGCTCCCTGGCTGGGGACCTCGTGATGATCGTAACCGATGATTAGAGTCACTGAGCGATATGGCTGGGTGTCGTAAACAGAGCCGTTCATGCATCTTCTTAACTTCTTTGCAACCTTAGAACACTGAACTTCTCCATTTTTTGTTCGACTCCACTTCAACTTTCCTTTCTTCTATTCTTCATCCAAATGGGCAGCCAAAAGACAGCAACCGAAACCGGCGCTCGAATATGCGTGGTTAAAGGTTGTACAAACTGAACTGAACTGCACTTGCCCCGCTGAAGCACGTATTGGGAGGTTTTATGCCGAAGGGAACCGGCTGAATTGTGCCTTAAAATGTTCTTTCCGTCGTTTAAGGTGTTGCCGAATATGAATCAATGTGCCTTCAGGCTCGTTAAGTACCTCACGTCTACCTTAATTCAGTCTACGTTCCTTATGAAACGAAAAAGATTGCGACTATAATCGATAGCCGCAGCCTTCTCCGTATCTTTACACTTCCCTATCCACCACGTCTCGCGGTCATTCCTCTGGCTCTTGATGAGCTGGCGTTTAGGAGATTTGCGCTTCATCGTATTTTGTATGAGAAGGAACGACTTTGCGAGTGTCCAAGATGACAGACAAGGTTGAGGACGTTCAACGTTTTTGCTTTGATCGGGCGCCAGAATCTGCTGCTGTTTGGATTGACATTTGGATAGCTTTCTTGATTACCGTCCAGCGTTCACTGAGTTATTCGGCTGACAGCTGAGCTGAAAGACGATCAGAGAGTTCCTGTAAAACAAAGTATATCGGCCGTACAAACAGAAGCCTAGTATTTAAAGTTGGAGAACATCATCTGACCCGGCTGGACACCGGTGAAACTGAATCGGTCTAATACCTTGCCGAGCCTTATTAAAAACAGTACGAAGTACGAATGACGTATTTCGTCATCTCTGATGTGTTTAGAGTTGCGTATCTAAGCGGACTAAAATTCACATCTTGGTTACAGCCTATGGGGATGCGTCTATATATATTTCTGAAATATAAAAAAGCATTCCACATACTATAGAACTATAAAATCGGGTGGAGTAAACAGAATACAGTTTTGTTTGAGTTAAGAAAATACCTGCGTTGATAAAATAACTGCCTTCGTGCAGTTTTGGAAAGACACTTGCCGGAGCAACAACAGTGTGCTGGTTACTCTGGAAATAGGCGAGGAATTCCTGACGCAAATCATCAGTGGATGAATTCGCCAAGCGAATCGAAGGAGCCAATGGAATATGTCGTTGTATGGTTTCATCCCCGTCTACGTTACACTGCCCCGTGATCTTCAAGTCTGGTCCGGAAGAGGGAACAGTGGCTAGAAATCGGGCCCTCGTATTCAGCGGAATATAGACATGCGACCGTAAACTTGAGTGCTGTCAAATCAAGTGACAAAATACAGACATTTGACGAAATCTTGTTAAAAAATGCTCACGAACTTTGTCAATCCAATGGATCTTGGTCAAAAACGGTATTAAGTGAGATTCACCAGCGAATATGCAAATGTTCGACATGTATCAACTGTAATCAGCAGCTTTCAACAACCATTATATTACATCATTACAGCAGAACTAGTCAGGGAAGTAGTAGTAGTAATTAGAGAAACCTCTTCTTTCATCTTCCTTTCGATATCCTTTACTATCATTGAACTTTGTGTTCACTTTCTCCTTTTATCTACATCTTCCCTTTCTCGCCTGTGTTTGGTTAGTGCGGTCCACTTTCTAGGTTGGCGCCCAAGAGATGAGGACTGCCGTTGATGAGAGAAGCCGTAAGATATTGTCCGGAATAGTCGTCATTGGAGCGAATGCTATAAAGGTCCGCTCGTTGCAATCCCGTCCACCTTGACTGCAGGCTGCCAACCACCTTTACGCGTCATCTGTCTACAATAGTTGGACTTTTCTCTTTAAGTCTTCCTTACTCTAAGAGCAGTAAAACTGCGGAAATTCATCCTTATTTTGGTAATCTAATCAACTGCAGTGTTCCTCTTATCGAGAAGAGGATCAACGAACTGGTTGATGCTTGAATGTTTATCTAAATACCTTCCTCTTTAAATCTATCATAGATCACGGAATATTATGGTTTAACAAATTATCTTATACAATTATTGTATTTCTTTAGGGTACTAACGTCTACAAAATCTCCACCATTCCTGATCTCCCTCGAACCTTTACAAGTCAGAGTAAAGAGTCCTAGCTAATTTTTTCGACAATTTATCACGGTTATACTTTGAACGATGGTTATTCGATTCTATTGATACGATGTAACTTTTGAACTGAAATCCGGAAATTCGTACGCCAAAAAGTACCAAAATAAACGACTACGAATAACGTTCACCCCGGGTAGATTCTAGCAAACACCTGACTTGATTGGGAAAAAATCTAAGCAGTTCAGTCGGCGGATGAATGAGAAATGGTCTTTAGCAAGTTTTCTTTCACCAATTACTCTTTGATTCACTGTTACAGAATCTAATGAACGTCGCTCGAGTGGAAATAAGACGCTGGTGATGAATCAAACAACTAGCAATTCTTTGTTTGTTTGTTTTTTAATGGTGATACACGTTACTCGTGATTGTATTGTGATTTCATTGCAAAGATTGAACGTTTCATTGCCGTTTCAACCCTCGCACCTTGACATAATCCAGAATATGCTTCAATTCAAAATGACTTAAATTAGTGCGAGTTAGAAGGACAAAAAACGATATTGACAGCATTTGTGAGGCCAAGCATCATGCGATAGGAGCGAAGAATAGAAGATCAGCCAAACAGGGGGGGGGGATAAAATGAGAAAAGCTCTCATGCCTGACAAACTGAGATACCACGTTACGGAGAACTACTCGCTAAACTCACCCGTAAATGATTGAATGCGATGGACCGGTTGACAAGTAAAACGGCGACATTTCTGAGTGACATAATGAAACACCCTGAAATTTAAGTGAATGTAAATCAGAGGTGAGTCAAGATCATGCAAACAAATTTTATTTTGAATAAAGATGATGCAAGGGGTAAGAAACGGGGGATGCTAATCGGCAGTTATGGAATTCGCAAATATGACCTCCAGAGCGAATGTGATGAATACATATATTCTTCAAACAGTTCCAAAGAGTGGATTGGAACTCATCAACATTCAGACTTCATCTGCAAACACATTTTTCGTCACCACCACTCAACCATACACTCGGAAGCACTAGATTCGAGTTTCCCTCTTATTAGAGCTCATCAGTAGTGCATATCCATCGTCCCATCCATGGTTCGCACTCCGGACCCATCGCATAGAATGCATGTTACCATTGTTCCACCTAGCTCCTACCAGGGTTGAACCGAGTGTATGGAAGAGATGAGGAATGTGTGTGAAGGTTAAATCTGAAAGATGGTCAGTTCAGATTAATCAACATCAATTATCCCATAACACTGCTCAAAAGTAACTGTAGGTTAAATGTGAATTCTAAAGAACACAAAGTGTAAAGAGTTTGTTAGACCGTACTTATCCATTAGAATATAAGTATAACTGGGGAACGTCCAGTTCGTCAATTAGACTCATATTACATGTAAGTTTTAGGTGACACTTCATGAAATGGCTACATGAAATTTGACTCGGAAAGCATTTTCTATGTATTAACAACTCTCTGTAACCTAAATGCAAGTAAAATTATAGAGAGATGAAGGGCGATGTGCTATGACTGAGTTACACAGAGACTGTAAAACCATCCAAATTCGGTAGTAGCCAGATTCGCTGTCGTCCGATTCAATAACACGCCTATCCCGGTGGGGCATTATGTGGTTTGCCACTTCATGACTACAGCGTTTACCCCGTGTGCTGTTTATCATACAAAAGATGTATGGTTGAAAAAAGATTGTAGTGTTTATCGTCTTAGATTTTATCTTAGTGTGGTTGAGACTGAGTGCTTCGGGTTGTGGCTGGTCACCCTTGCCTTATACTCAGTCGAATGCTCATATACGAAGAATTGTCTTAGAAAGCCTCTGTAAATGAGGCCCTATTCACTGTCTTCACCTGGCAGATGTTTTACCAGCAAAATGTGAGGACAAAAGGCCAACATTCGGAGCTATAACCGTGTCGGTGAACAACTGTCAGTTTACTGAGGGGAGTTGGTTAAAAACCCTAATTCCAAACCAACCATAAAGAGGTGTAAAAACAACAAGTCCACACCTGATTGGTTTTGATGATGGTCATCGGTTTGACTGGGTATTGAAGTGTATTGGGCATCTTGGACGTTTGACCTTGTCCAAAAGGCATATGAACCAATTACCTGTGCACCGGTCCCTAATGGATTGCGGTTTTTCCACACTGTCATACTACCTTGCGGTTCAGGCCTTGGTTAGTCAAAGTCTCCGGTTGTGAATTCTTCAAGAGAAATCATCCATCATCATCGTACAGCAAAATACAGTGAAGGGAACTTCACTGATCGCTGCCAAACTCGCAATGCGTACAAGGTAGGTGGTAAAATTTAAGGTGGACAGGGATTGGATCTATTTTGAGGGAGGGAGGTGAGCCATTGTGGTCAACACTCAGAGCACGCAATCGAACTCTGCATACATACCGTTTCAAGCACTCTGACCTGATAAGAAACGACAACAAGAACACCACTGCTGCCGGTTCGCTGCCATATCCTTCAATGTCTCCAACCAACCAGTTGTGGAGTCTTTCGGACTCCAACCTGGAAGGCGAGAGACACCGACCCTACCTAATGGCTTTGTGCATTTCTTCATGCCTCGTCTCCACGTCATCTGTTGACCTCCACGTGATTTCCTCCAGCCCGGATTAGCCAAAGAGAATAAAGCGCGGTGCGGCAGACGATGGTTGGGCATACGCAATACGTGTCCTAGCCAGCAAAGCCTAGTAATTTGAATTCGGTGTGCTAGCAGGTTTCACCATCATCATCATCATCATCATCATCATCATCATCACCATCATCATCGTACAGCGAGATACAGTGAAGCGAGCTTTACTGATCGCTGCAGGTTTATACATGATAGACTCCTAAACACACGACGGCTTACCTCCATATTACTAACTCATTCGCTCCATCCAACATGGGCTAAACTGCGTAAACACCGATTATCGAAAACTTCTAGTCGACGGATATCTCCTATTCGCCAATTCGGGGTCTCACAACCATAAAGCAGAACTGAACGAACGGTGGCACAATATACACGACCTTTCAGCTTCAGTGAAACTTCGCGTTTACGCCAGAGGTGTTTCAATCCTGTGTATGCTGCTCGAGCCTTGGAAATGCGGGCGGTTATCTCCTTTGGTGCGCTACCGTCATTGGTCACGCAACCACCTAAGTAGGAAAAATAATCCACCATAACTAAATCCTGAGCATTTAGTTTCAGAGCGGGAGTAGACGAAACCCAGTCCTGTAGCATCACTTTGCACTTTGAAGGTGCAAAACATACCGAATGTGGCTACTGCACTTGTTAGTCTATCAAGTGCGCTTTGGGCGTCCTCCATACATTCGAACAGACAGACAATGTCATAGGCGGACTCCAAATCGCACAGCTTTTCTCCAGCTGTCCATTCAATACCTACGTTTTGGAGTCTCCTTAGTGCGCTCTCCAGTATTTCGTCTACGACGAAATTGAACAGGAACGGCGAAAGAGGGCACCCTTGACGAAGGCCGTTTCTGGTGACGAACAGCCTACTTAGTTCGTTGTAGACACTTACACAACCGGAGGTATGTGAGTACAGCGACCTCAGTAGGTTAACGTATTTCTGGAGCATTCCTTTTCGAAGAAGGGAGCCCATCAGAGCTTCGCGGTCAACTGAATCGAAGGCTCCTTTCAGATCAAGAAACACTGCGATCGTCCGCCGACGGTGGGTATGACGCAGATCAGGGATCTGACGCAACGTAAAAACCTGATTAATACATCCACGGTCAGGCCGGAATCCGGCTTGCTGTTCATGGATGTTGGTCTCTCTTAAAGGCGTCAGACGTCAAACTATAACCGAATGTAGCACTTTGGTGACAATCGGGATTAAACTTATCCGGCGGTGGTTTTTGCAATTGTTACGGGATCCTTTCATGAAAATGGAGACGATCAGTGATTGGCCCCAAGATGAAGGAATGTGCTTTTGCAACCAAATGTTGCGCGAGAAATCATCGATCTTGGCCTGGGCAAATTGGAAGTATTCTGACCACAAGCAAATCATGAAACTTTCTCTTTTCATGAAGACTGTTCACTTTGATTTGGACCCAGATGTGTGAAATATATATGTATTCCTCTTAAAGGCATATACCAACGAAATACGATGAAATTCAACACTTTTTTGGGAGCTGAAACCAATCGTATTTCGCGGTACTTCGCGTAAACGTTACTATATATCACCTCGAAAAGTGGATCAATGAATGATTAACTCCATGACAATGGGATACGTGCAATATGTATATGGGCAGTAGGATAGTAATAGTCCATGAAAGAATCATCCCTACCTTGGAACTAGTGAAGAGAAGACAGCAAACACCGGGTGCTTTCTTCCAGAAGTAAACGACACACCATATTTCCAGTTCCGTTAGAATTTCATACGTCATCTATAAAGCTCTAGTATCGAAAGCTGATGTGGTCTGGTTGGCACCATACCAGAAAAATTGTTCGATAAAGCACTCCTTCCAGCGATAAAGCGGTTGCTTTCTATTGTATCACGTCCTGTTGAGTTGAATCTGCTGACGATCAGTATTGGTGGAACCGAACAGATGCATTTGCTACTTTTATATTTTACCGGTGTTCAAGGTTCTTACTGTAGCTTGTCGTGAAAACGCTACCTACTTTTTTTCTGGCTAGTCGGGATATTCTGAACCTTCATCTTTTGTTCTATTGATTGCTGAGAGGTCCAATCATTTTATTCCAGTCTTTTTTATTGCACACCTAGTTGTGATGAACAGCAGACGGGGTACACCCCATAGTCACGAGGACCTGCTGTTCAGTGGTTGAAATCGGCAACCTAAGCCCCGGAACTTGGAGTGGCGAACCACATAAGGCCCCGATAGGTTAGGCGTGGTATTGAACCGGACGAAAGAGCTGCCTATCACCAAACGTGAGCGCAGCTGATGTAATCTTTATTTTTGGTCTCCTAGTTAGACGAAGTAGACGAAAGAAGCGGAAAACCTAGCGGTATCAGGATAAATATTGTTATGTATTGCCGAACTATCCCTGAGTCTGATCTAACGATGCGTAATGATTCCAGTAAAAAGACAGTTGGAAAACAGTGCAAGCCTTTATTAGTATCACCAGCCAAAATGTGGTCGTGGTCCAGTAAGGAATAAAACATGTGGTACTTAGGGGTTTGCTCACTGTTTAGACACTTTCCCGGAATGGGGGGTTACGTGGGTGGCAATGAAGGACTTGCTAGAAATTAGGTCATCGTATTCTACATTTTTACTCTGATGCCCACGTATCCAGTACGATCGAGAAAATGCCGACACGTTTAAACGGTCGCGACTGATCCGAATCCGGTTCTGATTCATACAATGAGAATTCTCAGGAGAAGGTTAGGCTTCTCCTGACAGATATACAGAACGCAGTTAGATTACGTTTGGGAAGAGAATTAGTAAATAAACGAATGGCATTGGGCCGTATCACTCAGTGTCTCTAAATTCTGGTTACACTGATTAACAAAACCGTCACATGGGAAACCTAACGCATTAAATAGTTTAGTTTTTTGGTCATTATTCTCTTACACTCAGGCCCAGATTTGATCTCCTTTCACTACCTCGGAAAAAATCGATGACTAAGAAAGTTTGCATGATGACATGCTATCACTTTGTACAACCATTCACCATGCACTTTCGTGCCCTGGTTTTGGTTGGTGTCTTTTGGCCGCCCATTTGGATAAAAGAGCAGAATGAAGATTGGAATATTGAAAGCAAATTCAAGTGGAAGATAGAGACATCATA